GCTCTCGTCTTCTCAAGAGGTTTTACTTTAATTAATCCTGACAGCTGCCCTTTGGGGGGGGGGAGAGGGAGAGAGAGGGAGAGAGAGGGAGAGGGAGAGAGGGAGGGAGAGAGAGAGAGAGAGAAAGGGAGAGTTGGAGTGTACCTCAAAGCCGAATCCGTGTTTACAGAGGCCAATAGCGTCAGGCAGGTCTGGATGGAGTTCTTTACATGCGATTCCCAAAAGATTGCAGGTCCGGGAGGGCTCAGGTGGGTTTCAGCACCATATGATAGGTAAATCAAGTCAATCAAGAGAAAGCACCAAGACACAGACAAGAACTCTGGCCGGATAGAGTTTATTAGCAGAGAAAAATGCAGACAGTTCCCCTTTTGGGATAGAGGAGCTGTCAGTTTACAGGCTGCTGGCTGGGGATTTTTATAGGGGATTTGAGGGGAATGTGGAAGGCGGGAAGATTTTTTTTTTTTTTTAAGTTAGGTGGGAGAGAGGGAGCCCAGGGCTTATCAGGAAAGACTAGCCTCTGTCAAACCACCCCCCTTCCATCCCCTTCTGTCAGCCAGATCTGGGTGATGGGATAAGGGGTCTATACAATGTGAAACTTATCAAGGGGGAAATAGTTTGTAATTGAGACAGTTCCTTCATCAGTGGGTCCAGAGTGCAGGGGCTTCTTTGCCTTCTAAGATCATCAAAGGGGAAGCAGGCTGTGCTGAAATGGCTCTTTGCAGTAATCAGGTCTCAGGTCAAAAGATGTAGAGAGTCTGTTTATCTTGTCTGCAGATGGTCAGGGTGCTCATTAACTCAGTTCCTGCGTCCTCAGGAGGCCTGTAAAACCGTGAGGCCCTGCTGCATTGAGGAGGGTGTTGCTGTAGATCTGAACTCTAACATCCATGAAGTACTTTAAAGTGAGGAAGTCACTGATGGGGAACTCTAGCTCAAATGTTTACCATATATTCCTGGGCACATTACCTGTAATTTCTTTAGCAAGAAGACATGTACATGAGGCAGAAAAACAAGCCAGAGACCCCAGGCACATCAGGAGGGCCAGATACTCTGCCAGGCAGCCAGCTCAGCCTCCTTAAAGCCAGTGACACCAGAGGGAGCAGAAGTAAAGTGTTTTAACCACAATCACATCTCTATCACTTTATCCTCCGATTTTCATCCAGACAACGTCCCTTGTGTGGAGTGGCATTCCACGGTCCCAGGAGCTTTAGATTATGCTTCAGAGAAAACTGATGGGAGGAAAGGGCAGGGGAGGTCATGTGCTAGAACACATACATGTTGCTGGTTTTCCTCACATCCATGTGTTCCTCAGTTTTTACAATTCTATAACAGGAAAAGCTGTCAGGAACGATCCTACTAGTCGATTTTCTGACCTACCTTACGAGATACAGTTGTAGAATCAAGAGGTAAAATCTCAGCGTGATCTTGACAGCAGATCCAGCACTCTGGGAGGTAGGGTGGAGAAAAAATTACCTTGGAAGGTGACAAAACACTGACCACTATCAACATGGGGAGGAAAGGGTCTATTTGTCTCACATCCCCCAGGTCACAGTTCATCAGGGAGCCCAAGACAGGAACTCAGGGCAGGAACCTGGAGGCAGGAGCTGAAGCACAGGCCATGGAGGAACACTGCTTACTGGCTTGCTCTCCTGGCCCCTGCTCAAGTGATAGTCCATCTTTGAGGGAAGTCAGGCAGGAACTCAGGGCAGGAGCTTGGGGGAAGGAACTGAAGGACAGACCATGAAGGAACACCGCTTACTGGCTTGTCCTCTGACCTGTGCTCAGCCTGTTTCCTTATACAATGCAGGATCACCTATCCAGGGGTGGCACCACCCACAGTGGGCTGGGCCCTCCTACATCGCTCAACAATCAAGAAGATGCCCCTCAGACATGGCCATAGGCTAGTCCTATGGAGGCAATTCCCCAGTTGAGACTCCCCCAACCCAGGTGTGTCATGGTAACACTAAAGCTATCCAGCACAGAGGGGCACAGCATGGGAAGTTGCCTGAGATGGATGAGAGCATCCTGCCACTGCTGCCTAATCACACAGCAGCCAATCAGAAGGGCTCACTTAGAAGACTTCTGTTTGCAGTACCTTGATGCATCTGCATGTGGGTAAGCATGCAGTGCCTCAACTACCATAACTGACACATCACAATGAGTGCATGGCAAGTATCTTGCCAATGCCCCACAGAACAGATCACAGTTTGTCATGAAACAAGGCAATCTCAGGAAGGAAAAAAATGTAGGAAAGGTGTTCGAAAGTTGTTCTGGGCAGCACATTAAAGTTTTCTAGATGTTTTTGGTTTTGTTTTTCAATTTTTCATTTGTAATTTCATTTCCTTTTTCTAAAAAAATGTTAATGCCATTTTATATTTCATCTTTTGTTCGTTTGGGTTTTGGGGGGCTGTGGGTTTTGCTTTGTTTTGTTTTTAGTTTGAGACAGGATCTCACTATGCAGTCCTGGCTGGCCTGGAACTCACCATGTAGACCAGGCTGGTCTCAAACTCACAGAGATCCACCTGCCTCCACCTCCCAAGGGCTGGGATTAAAGATGTGTTCCACCAAGCCTGGCTTCTATGTTTTATCTTTAAAAGGCCTAGATTGGGGCTGGAGAGATGGCTCAGCAGTTAAGAACACTGATTGTTCTTACAGAAGACCCGGGTTCGAATCCCAGCACCCACATGGCAGCTAACAACTGTCCATAACTCCAGTTCCAGGGGATCTGACAGCCTCTTCTGTTCTCCGTGGGCATTGTATGACACAGGTGCACTTAAATACACACAGGCAATACATGAAAACACATAAATTTTTTTAATTAAATATAAAATAAATAAATAAAAGGCCTGGATTTTCTGTTCTTACAGGGATCCAGTGTCTAGGGACGGGACCAGCAAGTGTCATGCATGACCACCGCAGAGGCAGACATTCTGAGACGAGGTGGCGGCACTTGCTCTCTGAAGAACTTGGGAAGAGGAGGAGGCACAGTGTAGGAGAGAATGAGCACTTCTATTACAGGCCTTGGTTTTACCCCCTCCCCCCCTCCCCCCCACCCAACCCCAGCCCCAGGAAGGATGGAGGGGCAGGAGAGGACTCTGAGGCAGGAAAGGGGAAGCCAGATGTGTTTGACCAAGGAACCTGAAGAGGGTACCACTGCTGAAGCCCAGCCTGTGAGTGGCTTTGCTCAGTCAGGGCAGGTTGGTGCTGGGAGCCTGGAGTCCACAGAGCGCGTGGAGGATGCTGGGCAGATGGCACAGCCCTTCTGCCTCTGGGGCGTCTTACAGAGGCCACAAGACATTCAAAATGTTGAGTTCAATGAGAGGTGTGTGCAGTGGTCTTGCTTTCTGGTGTTTTCCTAGTTTGAGAGAGACGTTTTAGTAGAGGGTCCTCCACTAGCTCTGTGTGAAGTTCATTCTCTCTCTGCCTCTCTGTCTCTGTCTCTGTCTCTCTCCCTCCCCCCTTCTCTCCCAGGAGAAAACACATTGGTGCCTAGGAACAGCTGCAAACCCAGTTCACAGAAACTGCGGCAGAGGCTGCTTCAGAAACTCAGGACGCTGGGAGATTTATTTACAATCACAAAACTTAACAAACAACTGAGAGAGAAACATGAACAGCTGACTGGTATCAATGTGCACAGCTAGTGCATCCCCCAGGCTCCGTCTCAGTCCTGCTGGTCTGACTGTCTGTTGTCATCTTCATCAAAGTTCACATTGTCTGGGAAGAAGACACGAGAGAAACATAAAAGTTAATAATAAAAACTATTAAATTATTTAGGCATTTAACACCAGCCCCTCCCAGGCCCCATTTTCTGTGGCATTGCACAGGTCCCTGGACCAGCCCCGAGCTAAGGCCTCCCTTACTTACCTCTTTGCTCTGAGACCAGACACCACCCACTCAGCCCAACACCCCAATTCTGAAGAGAACCATCTTCATTTTATCCCTTCTCTCTCTCTCCCATGGTGGTTTCCAAAGATTCCAGGTGCCTGAAGTGGAGCCCCTGCCCTCCGGCTTGTTGAGGTGGAAGCTTCCAGACTATCCCCCCAAACCAGTTAAACAGCACTAGTCCCTGGCACCGTGACCCCTTAGCCATCCTCCTGGGACTAAGATATGGTCAAAACAGTGTGACAAGCTAAAGCCACATAGTTTCTAAAGGGCCACTCAGGCCGAGGACCGCCCTCCTGTGAGCTGTGAAAAGCACCCAGGGCACCAGGCAGTACTTGCCAGGGCCAGGCTCCACAGGAGACAGGAGACAGACTGCCCGGGAGGTCCTGCAGGTCTTCCCCCGGCTCATCCGGGTCCCTTGAGCCTGGCCTGAGGATGGCGTGGTGGAGGGAGGACCCTGCTTCTCCCAGGGCGCATGACTGGCCTCGCTCCCCGGCTCTACACATTCCGAGGAGTGCATGTTCTCACCTTGATCCATGTCATGGCTGTTCTCGCGGCTCTCCTGCCTGAAGGTGTCTATGTCTTCCTCTCCGGGCCTCATCTCTGTCTCACCTTCGAAACCCTCCCCCAGAGCTTGGGCTTCCGCTAAGGTGTCACCTCCACCTGGAATGAGGGAGGACAGTGAGGTCACCAGGGAAGGTGAGTCCAGACCTGTGTTAGGTGGCCTTCCTGGTCTGCCCAGCAACACCTGCTACTCCTTAGAGCAGACTTCCTGTCCTGGGCCCCCAGCTCTAGCCCAGGCCTGACCTCCAGACCACCCTGCCCCACCCTACCCCCAACTCTCTTGACAAGACCACTGTAATGGATAAAAGGAAGTACCCCCTGAATCCTTCTTCCAGGGGGACCTGCGACCTAACTTCTATCAGCACCCCTCACCCAAGTCACACCCCCAGCCAGGTACTGTCAGGTGAGCTGTGGCTGCTGGGGATGACCCCAAGGTGGCTGGGGCCGGCATCACAGCTGGACCTTCCTTCCATGCAGTCCATCTGAACCCTTCACCTTTACTCCCTGGGGGAACCCCATCTCAAACTCTTGCCCTTACAACATCCTGCATCCCAAACTGACCCAAAGGTCATTTTCCAGAGAGACCCTGACAACCTGGGGCTCCTCATACCAGTAGCTCTTTGTGCTTCCTTCTGGCCGGGTCCCTCAGCAGGGTACTGTTCCTCAGGGAGTGTCGGGGTCCACAGGGCCAGTTCTGTGATCTTGAGTGCTTTCCATTTCGGAACCATACTTACTGTCTCGTCCTCCTCTTCCACTTCTCCTCTTTCCTATTTTAAGTGCAGAAATACAAATTTACCAGTTTATATTTTCTTAAATATTTAAAGTCAACAATGACGGGCTGGAGAGACGGCTCATCGGTGAAGAGCACTGGCTGCTCTTGCAGAGGACCCGAGTTTGATTCCCAGTACCCACATGGCAGCTAACAACTAGCAGTAACTCCAGTTCCAGGGGATCCAACACCCTCTTCTGACCTCTGAAGTCATTGCATGACACAGGTACACTTACACACATGCAGGCAACACGCTCATACACATAAAATAAAAAAATAATAATACAAATGTTACTAAGGGAGAAATGGGTAAAATGGGAGTATTTAAATGGGAGGGGGAGGGAGGGCTATACAGGGAACTATGGGGATAAAGGGGAAGAAGGAGCTCAAGAGAGGCGGGACCCTAGGAGGCTGGTATTATGAAGGAAGAAATGGGGGAAATGGGAATACTTCAAAGGGGGAGGGCGTGGAGGGAGGGTTAAACAGGGAGAGAGAGGAGAGATAAATAATGCCTAGCTCGTATAAAAAAAAAAAAACCAGAGGGAATCATATTAGTCCAAAAACCTACTGACGAATTACACATACAATATCCCTACATGAGTCCATGTGTATAGCTGAAGACTACTTAACAAGAAACAGTGCCAGACAGGAGAAACCTTCCTTCAAGTTGTTGGCCAGGGTAGTCCAAGAGACTCCCAAAACTGCACAGGCTATTGCCACAGTCCTTGAATGCCTCCCAGAACTTGATGGTAAGAAGACCCTATTGCTGAAGACAGGACATACTTTGGACACAGGATTTGGAGCAATGGAGCTGAACTGACCTGGAAGCCCCCTCCCCTGAAGGCAGCTCTCATGGCTTTGGAGAGCGCTATGAAAGCTGCTCAGGGAGAATATCAGTCAATGGTCCAACTCCATCTTTAAAGTCTAATAACCACATCAACGACCAGCACAGCAAACGACATTGGTGCAGCAGAGGCACTTTTATCTTGGGGGTGATCAACAGCTACGTAATTGGACTTCAAGTGCACTCAGTGGGAGGAAACTCACTGTGGTACCGTAAACATAGCCAAATACACATAGATGGACAGGCTTAGATCTTAGAGAAATTCCCAAGTATCCCAGTCACCACTCATCAAAGAAGCTTCTTTTGAAATAGAGGAAATTATTAGCGTTCCTAACTGGTCACACACAGAGATTGTCCATGAACTGCCAAACCTAAGCAGCACATCTACAATGCAGCCTGTACACCTGAGGATCATGGAACATAGAACAGGGGTAAAGAGGGTGCTAATGCATCTCTCAGTTCTCATCAATGAAGCTCCCTCATGCAACAGAGGGCCAGGAACACAAAAGGTCACAAATGGCCAAAGTGTGGAGAGTAAGAGTCTGCAGAGTGTGGGTCCTTGGACAGGACTCCTATTAAACTCCCACCCAGGGCTCAGAGACCATTGCAGAAGAGGGGGTGGAAACATTGTAAGAGCCAAGGAGGAGGTGCATGGCCATATGAAGTAGAGTCCTACAAGCTCCTGGGACCCTGCTCACATGAACCTACAGCAGTGGTGTCAGCATGCACAGACCCATGCAAACTCAGCAGACAAAAACCCAGCACAGAACTGTGAAATGGACAGCGGGCCCCAATCTTGGTTGAATAATTATTGGCAGCTGATTACTGCTGGGTGAGGAAGAGCTGATCTTCTTAAAGGAAGGAACTCTAGATAAGCTGCCTAGACCCCAGTGGATGAACTTGCACTGAGGGATATCTGAGGATACTAACTAGACATGATAGGCCTTAACACAAATGACAGAATGTATGAATTCCAGTGGGTGGGGGCTATGGGAGGGTGCCAGTGGGGAAGGGGGTATAAAGATGATTAAGTTTGATTATGATGTTCTGTATAAAATACACAATAATTCTATTAAAATTTACAAAAAATAGTAAATAAAATATTTTAAAAGGCAACAAAGACGGGCTCTGACTTGTTCTTGATCCTTGTGTCACACTAGTATAAATCAGAACAATTCTGACCACCCACGGCATCATCTAAGGGCTAGCAACGGATCTTGCAATGCTGAACAAGACAGGAAGCCAGAGACCAGAGCAGTGACACCGTGAGAGGCTCATGGGCTTGGCATGTCCCAGAAACAGCTGAGGAGTAACCAAAGAAACAGCACTGCTTTGCAAAGTTCGGCAGTATTTTCCAGATCCGAGGTTTGTCATGTAAATAACAGAACAACACTTGCTCGAGTCAAGCCCTAAGAAATCCCTCAGATGTTCACGTAGTGGCAGGGAGGTGCATAAACACGCAGGCCCCCCCGTGTCAAGGGTATGGAGACAAAACTTGAAAGAGGACTGAGCAGCTGTCCTTTGTAAATGTACCACATCTCACAGTCATTCCAACAGGGTTGGAGCCAACACATGTCAATTCTGCCAAGGACATCCGTCAACGTCTCCATTCTGGAACTTTACAAATTCCAAAGATCTCAGCAACAACCCACTAAGTACGCAAAACCTCATGGGCACACAGGTGGTACCAGCCGCAGACAGAGTTCCATACATCTGTCTAAGCCACTCAGAAATGAATTATTCTATTTCTTCCCCAAAGTTCTGCGTTTCCTCGCCCATGAAGGTGACACCAGTGTTCCGGGTGCTTAAGCCTGACCTGTGTGAGAATCACCCCGAAGGCTCACAGAGATACACATGCTGGGTCCACCCACACAGCTTTTGACTCAGCAGGTCAGGAGTGGGGCCTAATAATTTGCATTGCTAACAGGCTCCCAAATGACCTGAGGTTGCCAAGCCAGGCATAACTCTCTGAGAACCTCCCCCAGAGCATGGGGCCCTGCACACCACAGGTCCTCCCTGAGGAGTGGGTGTTCCTTTCTCCAGCTGGTGGCCATTTGTTCATAAGTTCTCCCAGGGAACTGCCCCTCCCACCAGGGTTTCAGAGTACCCCCACCAGCTTAGAGCCATCACAGACAGGTCAACTGCTTCTCCCAGATCCTGCTTCCTTCACAGCAGCTGACCCCAAAGCACGCCCAGTAAACCTTACATGCACACCTCAGAGTCTTGAAGTTGGCTTTCTCAGTGTCATGAAATGATCTGCGGCCTACCACTGCCAGTGCCCTAAACATCAGTGTTTAGAATGTGACCTTATTGGAAAAGAAGGTGATCAAGTAAAAATGAGGTATTAAGATGGGCACAAGAGAAACGATATGAGGTATTAAGATGGGCACAAGAGAAACGATGCCAGTGACCTTCGTGGTTGATCACCTTGCCGTGTGGGATCCCGTGACCAAGCAGGTGAATACATAGGTGGCATCTACAGGTCAACTCACCACATCTGTTAGGCGATATTCACCATGCTGTTCACATCCAATGTCAAATATGTACTTCCCAGGGCCGACAGGCTGAGGAGAGAGACGCGCAAAGCACTTGAGCCAACAGAAAACACAAAAATGTTTCACAAATTCTAAAAACCGGCCCCCAAACACGCATCACCAGGCAGTCAAAGAGGGATTCGATGCTTTTATGAACTCATGTCTGAGGGAACAGGTAACTGCTCTGCCCTTTAAGACCTCAGCCACACTTTACAACTTCATAAAAGGGGTAAGGAATGTATTTATTATAAAGCCTGTAAAAAGTCAGTACCTCCAGGCAGACTACCCAGAGAGAGGGCCCTGCCAACGTGCTGACGTGTATGCTGTAACAATGATTCTAGTACCCAGCATTTAAAATCATTTATTTAGTGTAGGAGTGGGTGCCCACGTCACTGTGCACATGTGGAGGTCAGAAGACAGGAGTCAGTTCTCTTTTCCCACTTTGTGGGTCCCAGGGATCAAACTCAGGTTGTCAGGCTTGGCAGTAGACACCTTTAATCCACTGAGCCACCTCACTGGCCCTCATCGGGCCTTTCAGTTTATTCATTTATTTATGTGTATGAGGGTTCATCTGCATGTATGTGTACCATGTACATACAGTATCTGCAGAAGCCAGAAGAGGGTGCTGGGTCCCCTGGAACAGGAGTTACAGATGACTGTGAGCTGCCATGTGGGTGCTGGAAACTAAACCTGGGTCCTCTACAAGAGCAGCCAGTGCTCCTAACCACTGAGCCATCTCTCCAGCTCCTCTATAAAGGATTCTTTTTGGCGAACTTAAACCTGTTTTTCCTTTTCGGATCTGTTTAGAAAGCCCTCTTTCCTCCTTTCAAGTTAGTAGCTATTCACCTATTTTCTTCCATATTCACTCATGCTCATATTTAATTTGTTATTTCTTCTAGAAACTACCTTCCTCTCTAGCTGAAGGACAAGCTGTTTTTCTCTCCCTGTGTCCCTTTTACCCACAGGTACTGGACACTCATGCTGCATGAACACGGATGCAGGCAAAACATGTGTACACATAAAATTATAAATGAATAAAAATTAAAGTAGAAAAACATGGCTGAGACTGAGATAACAAGACGTGCAGTGATTCCCGTAACTATTAATTGGCAAAAGCGTTCCACAATCCTCTCAGATGTTGCCAAGTGATATAATTTGGAGTGGGCCTCGCTAGGGGGCCTATCTAGCGATCTAGTTTCCCAGCCCAGTATTTCCTGGCTCCCCTGGCCACCCCACCCCCATTTCTTCATTAGTCTCCAATGACACCCTGATCCGGTGTTCAGTGACTTTTACCTCCTCCCAGTCCACCCCTCTTGTCTGAGCATCTCCATCCTGCTGTCTCCCTGTGTCAATGACGTGCCAGCAAACACAGGGACAGAAATTTTTCTAAGACAGAAACACAAACTGGTGAGAAGGAGTGAAGAAGCCTGACCTTCCTCTGACCACAGAAATACATGTTACAACATGCTTACCCATCAGATATGGGGGATGGGTGTTACTATGAGCATGTGTGACACAGACACCAGAGACCCGGGTTCTGCCCATAAGGGAATAAATCCACGCAGCTTTTCAGGACAATGGGCAGTGTCTGAGGGGATTTAACACAGCAGCCCTTTACGTCCAGCAATTCCATTTTCCAGCTGTGGTGGCTAACACCGTCAGCCAAGAGGGAACCTCTGGAGGAATTCCCTCCATCAGACTAGCCAGGGCTTTTTCTTGATTGCTAATTGATGTAGTAGGGCCCAATAGGGCCCAGCTCACTGTCAGCAGTGCCATGGGCAAGTGGTCCTCGGTTGTGTCAAAAAGATGGCTGAAAGGAACCTGAAAGTGAGCCAGTGAGCCAGCTCCCCTATGGCTTCTGTGAGCTGTAAGGTCAAATTAACCCTCTCCTCCCCAGGTTGCTGCTGGTCATTGTGTTTATCACAGCAACAGAGAGTAACCAGGACCGTCGCTTGCATAAATACACTTATCAAAAGACAAAAAGACAACAGTTTAAAGATCTTTACTGGCTTTCATTCTAGAGTCAGACATCACCTGTTTATAAAACTGACTATTTTCAGATGAACTGAGCAGTCTTATAGGCAGAAGGACTCATTAAAGAGAAACACAAAACGGAATGTGGCTTGTTCTGGAGCTTGCTTCCCTCTAAGGGTCACAGCAGAGGAGACTCCCTCTCCCTGGAACTGGAACTGGCCTGCTGGGGTCACGTGACACCTTACCTTTGCTTAAGACAGACAACCCAGTATGAGGGACATGTGGTGTGGTCTGCTGGGCCAAGGCAAGAGCTCCTCTGACCAGACCAAGCCCTCCTCCATACGACCAGATGTGTAAGACGATACCAGATGTACCCTTGTATCCTGATACATTGTGATCCTGTGTGAAACTCTCAAAACTGACTCTGCATACACTGTATGTGTAGGGGTGTGTGTGTGTGTGTGTGTGTGTGTGTGTGTGTGTGTGTGTAGGGACTGGGGTTTGGGGGAATCCCAGCATCAGACACTTTACAACTTTAAGTTTTAAGGTAACCAGCAGCACAAAGCCTGCACTTTGTCTTCTTTTCAGACCGGTCTAGTCCAGCTTATTGATTTCTCCGGTGGTTAAGGCATGAGTTATGTGCAAACGAAAACGGCCGTTTGGAGTCTGAAGAGGTCGTGAAAGTCGTGGTTGTTCGCCTTGTCAGCTTCTGACACTGTCAGTTTGCCCAACAGGCTCTCTCTTTGGGGAGTCTCCCTCCAGCCCTGATCAGGGTCTGAATTTCTCAGAATGTCTCCAGGGCCAGAGCCAGGCAAACAGGAGCAGCCAGTGGGGGTGCTGGGGAGGCCTCCAGAAGGGGGCAGGGTCCTGAAAGCCCTCCCTAGCCAAGAGCAGCAGGTTGGCCGCTGGCATGAGGGGGAATTCTGGGGTTCTGCTTCTGTTTGACCTGATTTACCGGGGGCTGGAACACACACAGCCAGTGAAAAGTGTCCCAGGACTAAGGGCATTACCAAAGGAGATGCGAAGTGCTACTGAGGCCCAGGGAAACAGGCCCAGTCACCTGCCTCCCACCCCACCCACCCTATGCTCTGTGGGCATCTGAGGCACTTGGGGTGACACCACCATCCGCATTTGTTGGGGATGGATGGGCTTCTCTGAGTGGTTAGTGTCCACACAGCTTCATATTGACTTACGTTTTTGTTCAGGAACTTGCCCTGGTACCTGTGGTTCAGGTGGATGAGCTCAGCAGCGCCCTCTTGCTGTCCATTCACCCAGCTACCGACGTACTTACTGCCCGTCTCCGCATAGAAGTAGGTGCCTTGCCCATGCCTGGAGGAAAGGAGAGGGCATTTCGACACCGTCCTGTTTGTAGCACTGACTGTGGGACTGCGGGTGACCTGGGGGGAGGCCAGTTTCCTGTGTCTACATCACTGGAAGGACTGTGTGCCACCACATGGGGCTTTAATAGATGCGCATGCACGGGGCTTGCAAGTTGCCTGTGCACAGCAGCTTTCCCCAGGCAGAGGCAGAGCTGCTCGAAACTGGATCTACCTGTCCCGGCCCACTGCGGAAGACAGCAGTCCTTTGCCTCTGCATCTCTCTCGGCAACACCACCGCCCATACACACACACACACACACACACACACACACACACACACACACACACACACCTACCCTACAGCATGGAACTGACTTAAATGGGGTTCTCTAGAGATGTGTTTCCCAGGAAGTGTAAGCAATCTGAAAACATGATCTTCTACTTACACCACAGATGGACCCCCAAGAGGACCCCAAGACGGAAGTAGAAGACGAACCTCTGGTGTTTAAACCACTCTCCAGTGTAGGTGTCGTTGTTGACGTAGTAGTACACCCCTTGGCCGTGCCTTTGGTCGTCCGCCCACTCCCCTGAAAGGACAGGAAGCCAGATGAAAAGGAACTGATCCCAGCTCCTGTTGCGGGAAAGAGAACACAATGGTCTCCCACCCCTCCATTCCCCGTCCTCCTGTGCCAGCTAAGAAGAGCTGAGTCAGGGGCTCCAGGGCACAGGTCTGGGGGCGTATGCATATGGGCCAGCCACCTGCATGCTTTCTTTCACACCGCACTGGTCTGGTCGGGCACGGAAAGGGTTCACACCAAGCTTGTCTGACCCGTAGCCAGCAAACATAACACCCACTCCACTGGCCTGACAAGTGCTTGGCGACCGAGGTCCAGCCTGGCCACCTGGCTCCAAGGCTGCCCTCTAGCCCAGCCACCGAAGGCTGCCCACCTGTGTGCCAGCTCCCACACTATGGTTCTGTGTGCTGCCTCCCTGGCCAGAATGGCCACTCACTCCCATACAGTGGTTCCTGCTCATTTCTCACAGGCTTGATGGGAAATACCGAGCGGAAAACTTCCTAAAACCCAGAGCACAGCTTGGCGACAAGGTCAGCAGCAAACCTGGTTATCAAAGGGAATTTGAAATGAGTCTCTCAAAATGCCTCAACACCTGCAGCTCAAACAGGAAAGACACTTAACCAAGGGCTTCTGAGGTGAGCATCACCTAGAACTTTACATACAACCAATAACAAGTCTGGACCCAAACGGCGCTTTCTACACTATGAATAATTAAAAACCAATTGTGATCAGTTTGTTGATCAAAAAGAAAACTAATAACAAATTGTTTTCTATTGGAGAGAATATTAGTGAACAGAGATGGGAGGTACCTGCCTAGCAAGTGGGAGGCCTGGGTTCAATCCCCAGTGCTAAAGGAAAAACAAAACGACGTTGGAAGAAAGCTAGTCTATGATTCTACAAGGATGTCCATCTTTAATTTTAAAACTCCCTCAGGTTACCGCCTTAGCATCTGCGTTGTTTATGGTATTTAATTTTTTTTATTTATTTTGGCTTCTCATTACAAATGAAAATTCACTTTTTTTACAACTTTGTGTCCTTTTTCTTAGAGAACCCCCAAAACGTGTATAAACTTCTGACACACACGGAAGCTGCCAGGAAAACGATAAAGAATCCACACTAGGCTAAGAAAAGTTAACTACCCAAACAATGTGTGTTTCCACGAATAAACTGAAATTGATCCACAAAGGGGAACTCTAGAATTTTCCTGAATCTCTCCGATCTTTATTTAGGAAGTACAACATCCTGATTGCTTTGTGACCCAGAAGATCATCTGTACAAGTGACAGCACATGGGGCCAGGGCAGACAAGGGCGCCCGAGGCAGCGCCAAGGACAGGATCTCCAGGGCCAGCGGCAGCTCGTGAAACAGCCTTGCAGAAGGGCACGAGAGCCCCGGGCGGCAAACGCTACCCCTGGAAAAGGGACTCGGTCACATGACTCGATGTGTGACAGGGATGTGAGCAAGAAAGAGACTCCAAAATTGGGATAATTCACTAAAAGCGACGCTTGGCACTGAGCCTGTGGTTGCCTGGAAAGGAGCGTCGTGCGCAGAGATCTGGGGTTGTCCCCACCGTCGGTGACAGCGACAGGCCTGCGTTTTCGGCATCTGCCGATTCCCTACTGGAAACATGTCCACCGGGGCCGGTCTGGAGCTGCTTAGAGAACTGCAAAGAGACTTGAAAAATTGGCTTCCGAGCGAGCGCTCTTCCTGCAGCTCCGCACGCCCCTGGGGCGGAGGCCTCAGCTGGAACAGTTACTTTATTTGGTTTCTTCCCAACAAAAGACTGAGACAAAATGAATCCCTCTCTCTCCTGCTGACCACTGAGCTGGGCTCCAGGGTGGTGTGGCGAGAAAAAAAATTGCATGCTTTGCAGAAACTTTTCCAAGATGAAAGAGAATGCTTACGTTGCAAAAGTCTAGATTAGGTGCTAGTGAAAGCTGGTGAGCTCTAGCTAACTCATGTGAGAAACTTGGGAGAGACTCCCCCAGCACAGTAAGCTCTGAGCAAAGGGACAAGGCCTCTCAAAGGAAGGTCACCAGCACCTGTCACAGTCACCCAAGACCAGGAGTCCAGCACCTGAATGACATTTGGAAATATATTATTCTTGTTTTAAATTTGCATTTAACTTTTTTTGAAATGTTTTGAAAAATTCTTTCTACCCATAATCCTTTTCTTCTCCTCAACCTTTTAATTCTTTGTCGTCTTGGGAGTACACCTCAGGCAGTGAGTAGGCTGGGCCTTCCCCTGGGGAAGATGTCACCTAGCTTGTTCCACAGGTGTGACAACTCTAATACCCGTCCCTTAAGCACCAGGCTCCCATCCCAGGTCTGGAGGGAGAGGAGGGGTGGCGGGGACAACCCGGATTAGCAGTGATTTAAAATGAGAAGTGAGGAGCCCTCGGCCCCTCTTTAAGATGCTGGTTAGTCACTGGTTCACCGTATTGGTTGCTGTTCTGCCCTCTACAGTGCAGACAGCCACAGAGAAGAGCAAGGACTAGCATTTGTGGGGACACAGCATGAATCTCTGTACGTGTCACATCCTCTGTGGCACCTCTGACCAGTGTGTAGTTGTACAGATACAGGGTCATGTATAGCGCCCAGGGCCACACAGCTGGCAGGCAGCAGGGCTGGGATGAAACCACATGTGGTGTGTCCCATTCCCACTCGCTGGCTCCTCTCTCCACACTCCCCAGGAGCCCAGTGCTCAACCCCTCCTCCACCATCTCCTGCCCCAGGGAAGCTTCCAGATCAGCCAGCTGCAAGTCATCACTGCCCTTTGGCTTCTACGGAACGTGGCTGGAACTTCTTTCCATGCACCAGTTCTGTAGAGACAGGGGTGCTTCCTCTCCAATCCCAACCTCCTGCCCCTCATCGGGCCTCCAAACCCAAACTTCAGAATCCATCAGGGCCCAGAGGCCTCTCCAACATCTGGCACCTACTGACTCTCTCTCTCTCTCTCTCTCTCTCTCCCCCCCACGCTCATGCTCTCACTCTCTCTCTCTGACTCTCTCTCTCTCTCTCTGTCTCTCTCTCTCTCTCTGCCTCTGCTTTTCCAGGGTGCCTGATTGGGGCTGTCTGGACACCTGAGAGGCCAGTCCTAAGGCTGAACCCACCACCCTGATCCTGTGACATAACCATTCTCAACACTGTGACAGACATCAACCCCCATGTACCACCATGCATCACAATGAGTAATTCAGCCCAGTTGGATGCTGTTTCCTTCATTGAAACACCCCCTGCTGGGGTCTCATGAAACTTCCCAAGTTCAAAGAGCTGCAGGATTCACAAGGCCTCTCCCCTATGCAGAAACAATAACAAGGCTGGACAGCAAAGTCTGACCTGGTAGCTGCAAGCAGATTGTGCATCCCTGTACTAGGGATGCAGCTCTCCTGAGCTGGGACCTGCAAGCCAAATAGACCCTGTCCTCCCCAGGTTGGTTTTGGTCAGCGTTTAATCACAGCAATAGAAAGCTAACCAAGACACCATGTAAAAACCCAGGTGTGGCAGCGCACACGGTAAGCCCAGTGCAGGAAGAGGGAAGGAGAAGGTGGGGCCAGGAGGGTCCCCAAAGCTCACTGGTCAGCCAGCCTAGGGGGCTGGTGAGGGGCTCAGTGGGAGACCCTGCCTTAAAGAATAAAGAGAGAGTGAGGAAAGCAACTGGTGTCAACCTCTGGCCTGAACACACGTGCCCACATGTGTACATGTACCACATTAACATACATACACCACACACACCACAAACACACACACCACACTACATATACTACACACCACACACCACACTACATACACACCACACACACACACACACACCACACACCACACTACACACACACACACACACCACACACACACACCACACACCACACTACACACACACACACCACACACCACACACACCACACACACACACACCACACTACACATACACACATACACACACACACACACACACACACACACACCAGAAGAAAAGAAAAAGAAATGCTTGGCCTTTGCCCAGGCATCCTAGCACAGAGCTCCTAAGACCTTTGGATTTCCTAATAAGTGTCTTTAGTTATTCATAAAGAGTTACTTTTAAATACACCTGAGTTTACACTAAAGAGAAACTTAGGATAGGGCCCTTAGGTAGCCTCATGAGAACTTAGTCAGCAAAAAAGTTCCAGAAACAAAAATGGTCATAGGGTTGGAACGATCAGCTCCTCTCACCAGACCTGGGGTCCTCAGATTAAGCTCTGTAAAATCCCTTGAATGGTGGGATTTGATGATGGGTTGGTGACTACGCCTGTATGCATGGATGGAAGCACACACCAAACTCCATAGGAACAGGGGCTCCTCTGCACTGGACCCTTCTAGAACTCACACTGTAAACCCTTTCATCTAACTGTTCCTCAATTTTCTATATAATGTCCTTTATAATAAAACAGTGTTTCCCTGAGTTCTGTGAGCCATAAAAGAAAATCAGTGGGTGAGGCTGTGGGGACCCCTAGCCCTAGTTAGCCCTGAGCTGGGTAGAAGTGTGGGCAGCCTGGGACCAGCCCTGACCTGGGCATCTGAGTTGGAAGTTAGCCGTGAGGCTGAGCCTTCACTGGGGGTGTGACACTAACTCTGGGTGGCTGGTGCCAAGACTGAACTGACTCCTTGGAAAACCTATTGTCTGCAGAGTTGGAGAGCTGCTTGGTACGGACACCCACACTTGCGCTCACAGGTCCTGTAAGCAGAGAAAAAGTTTTCCTTCAGTAGTTGACCTCTATTCCCTTGAGGGGCCAGTACCCACATGTGGGTAGTGGGTAAGATTTTTCTCTGAGCACCTCTTTTTCTCCTAATCCTCATGCTTAGGTCTATATTAAAATATCTTTAATAAAATCCCCAACTCTGCTTAAACAAGAAGTCCTAGAACCCCCCTTTTTAAATGCACTTTACGTGTAGTCTAAATTGTATTGACATTGACACCAAGATCAAAAGCGACAAGATTAGGCTCACAAGAATTTGGAAAGAATTAAATTAAACCCTAAATTAAACTGCTTAAAGCTCATTAAAAGACAGATGGTGAGCTAGTAAGGCGAGCCTGCTAAGGTTTAGGAAACAAAACAAGTTCAATGTCTAATGCAGAGGGCGTGAATACCTCCACCTGTCTTAGAAGCTGATGAGTGGGGCATAGTGGTACACACTTTTATCCCAGCACTCAGAGGCAGAGGCAGGTGGATCTCTGTGAAATCAAGGCCATAGTGGTCTTTATAGTGAGTTCCAGGCCAGCTGGGGCTACAGGAAGACCCTGTATCAAAAACAAAAGAAACTGGCAGAATTTCCTTCCTATGATTCTTTGCTGTTATTATTAGTGTTTGCTTTCTCTGGGAGCAGAGCAGGTAAACTGCTGGTTCAGGTCAGTGTTCTCCCCAAAGACCGTGTGTGCAAAGCTTGGCTTCAACACCTGGTTCTACCAGGGTGTAGTGGAAACTTCAGGAGAGATGGAACCTGTGAGGCAAGTCAGGTCACTGGGAGCATGCCCTCAAGGAGGATCTCTCTCTCTCTCTCTCTCTCTCTCTCTCTCTCTCTCTCTCTCTCCCCCCTCCCCCCTATGGTGATTTGTCCTCTATAGCCTCCAAGCACATGAACACTTCTCTATGGTGATTTGTCCTCTATAGCCTCCAAGTATTTGAACACTTGATTAGTTGGTGGTGCTGTTTTGCGAGGTTTAGGTATGGTCTTGCTGGAGGAAGCACAGCACTGGGGGTGGGCTTTGAGAGACACAGCCTGCCCCATTTCCAGTTTCATGCTGTTTCCTGTTCCTTCTTGAAGACGTGAACCTCAGTTTTCTGCGCTGGCTGCCTCCTGCCATGATGGACTCTAATCCCTCTGGAACCATAAGGCCAATAAACTCTTCCTTCTCTAAGTTGCCTTGATTGTGATGTTTTCTCACAGTAACAGAAGTAACTTATACACTCCCCTCCTCCCTTACCTCTGTTTCCTGGCCAGCAAGCGGTGAACAGCTGGGTCTACCACAGAGTCTCACCAGGATGTCCTGCTTTGCCACAGGCAGAAACAACATGGCCAGATGTTCATGGACTAAAATAGTTAAAATTAAAATAAGCTCTTCCTTCTTTTAATATGATTGTCTTGGGTATTCTGGGAATGCAGCTTGCACTTTAAGGATATGTCACCCTCGTTAGGAAGTGATGCTGTCACACAAGGTGCAGCAAGAGCGTCTCTAGGTATTTCACAGGCATCAGTCTAGTCCATCTGCATGCTACAGGTAAGATGCTGAGACAGAAAGAGGAGCTGTGCAGAGTTACACCTGCTGTCCCCGCAGTCCAAGGCTAAGGTCACAGATAATTTTGGAAATCAGATAGAAACTAGGTTACTGTTTCCTGGGGGCACAGACGGAGGAGAAAGACCCAGACATACGCGTTAGCACACACTTTCTGAGGGTTCACAGCCCACTCCCTGCCTTCTCTCTACCTGGGTCTGGAATTAGGCTTGCTGTGTCCTCACCAGGCGACAGTTGGCACATGGGGGCACAATGGGGTTCTTAGACATAAAGTAAGAGTTTCCCTGAGGCATGACATCAGCATGTACGGAATCACAGACTGGAACAGACAGCACACCCAGTCAGACCTGAATTGAAGGAACTCAAGGTTTAGAGAAGCACGACCATCAGAAGAGGGGTTGGGTAGAAACAGGAAACAGCACAGACAGCTTCAGGGAGAGGCTGCCACAGGCATGGAATCATGGGTCTAAGCCACTCTTGGATCTGTGCCCACCCAGCAGCCCCCACCTCCAGTACTCTAAGACTCTGGCTCACAGGAGGTCATATGCTATCCACAGGACCAGTCATATGTCCCACGGTGGACTGGTTGTTTAGTTAGTTAGTTGATTAGTTGGTTAGTTGCTTAGTTAGTTAAAGGATTTCTAGCCTCCGTGTCAACACAGAAACACAATTCATGTTTGTTGAGTGTCAGATCTAGAGAACTCTAAGAACTTTATCTTGTATACTTCAGCATCCACAGACAAGTTCAATGATAAGAAGGGAAAACGCCCTGCACAACACAAAAGTCTTCTCTGTGGCAACACATTACCTTCATATCTGGATCCATCTGGATATATGAAAGTGCCTTGGCCGTGCTTTTTATTTTTAACATATTCTCCAATGTATCGGGCACCATTTTTAAATCTGTAGACGCCCTGAAATACATTCATGATTTAGTTCATATTGTTCCTGACCTTCATATTCACTATAGGATATTAATAGAACATTTAATTGGGAAAACCACCTTCCTAGGTCACCAATTCTGACCTGGCCATTTCTTTTACCAAATTCGTATTGCCCTTCGTACGTGTCCCCGTTGGGCAGGCGTGCTTTCCCATGTCCGTGCCGCTCCCCGGCTTCATTCCGACCTCCTTCATACTCCTGGGTAAAAGAAATGAAGCTAATTATGGCTGCTGTCTGTTAAGTGCTGGCCACATGCTAACATCTTACAAATACACAATGCAGGTATCCACAGTGGAAGCCTCCCTCCCTCCAACACCTGTGCTTGTGATTAATTATGCTAATCTCCAACCTGTAAACAAAGTCAGCCCCTGTATGGAAATGCTAAGTAGTACGCTGTGTTCAGCTCAGGAATGGGCCAAAGAGGACGTGCAGGTGGGACAGGTCTCTAGCCCACACAGACTGTTCACTTTCTCCAGTAATCCAGAACTTAAAGAGAAAATGCCTTAAGAGAATGACCTCCCGCACATGCCCCTGGAGTGTCTGTGGAGGCCGGTGTGCTGCCAGAAAATTCTGCTAGAAAGGAGAAGGGGGAGGAGGGACTAGGAGAACTCGGGGCTCCATTGATCTTATCTTCAAACTCCCTATCCAGTGGCTTATACTTCAAATACTCTGGCCCACTCTTAAATAGCCATGAATCTGTCGTATAAGTAAACTGAACTGGAGATGATACAGGACTTGCTGAGCATGCCTAAGGCCCTGGGTTCCCTCCCTAACACACACACACACACAAACACACACACACACACACACACACACACACACACAGATGAAAGAGAGATGTATGTCAGGAGTCCCAGCTTCTTTTAAGGGCTGAGGCAGGAGAATTGGAGGGTCACATGAGCCCAGAAGTTCAGGCCAAACCTGAGTCCTACCATAAGTCTCTGCCCGCTCCAAGGTAAAAAGTAACATAAGCTTACGATTGTCCTAGTTTTTCCTATTGCTTACAAAGTAAATGCTCCCTAGCACCTTATACATGAACGTAGAGCCTATATAATATATAATAAAATGGCCAAAGCATACAGTAAGACTTAACAATGGGCAGCTTATAATATCATGTTTATATCTTAAACATACACAATCGCATTTACTTAAATTTTTAAGAGAAAAAACATGGAACTGGATCTGACCAGATGTATTACAAGAACAGACCCATTACATGGGAAAGCTCAGAAGCAAATAGCCGGGCATTTCATGACCTCTTCCAATACTGCTTAGCCTAGAAACTCCTGCCTGAAATACGTGTGGCCTTACAGATTTGTTTCCTTGGGGTTGGTACGAACCACAATGTGCAAAAGGCCCTGCTCCCATCCCAGAGGCCTCCTAGCCCAACACTGAGCTGGGAGTGTAAAATAAAAAAGAATCCTTTAAATTGCCCAAATGTGACCTAAACACCATAATTATGGGGTTTAGAATAGGTTACAGATCAATAGGACCATGTAGGGACAAACTAGAAAGTGTGCTGAGCAGGCCTTAAGGCTGGATTTCCCCAGAGGTAGGTCCTGAATGTGAACTTAATCATTTCTTTGTGTGTGTCGTGGTGTATGTGGGGGAAGGATGGTGTGCACGTGTTCTCACGGACGTTTGCATGTGTGCGTGCAGGTGCCCACAGAGAGCAGAAGCTGACAGCTGGTGTCTTCCTCAGTTGACTTCCACCTTCTTTTTCAACAGGGTCCCTCACTGTACCTGAAACTCAGATACAGTTCGACTGGGCTGGCTGCCTAGTGAGCTCCAAGGATCCTGCCGTGCCCAGCGTTTAATAAGGGTGCTGGGGATCTGAACTCAGGGCCTTACGCTGCAGGGCAAGCACTTCACAGACTGAGCCCCAGCCCCCGCCCGGGGACACACTAATTGCACAGGACTGCGGAGCCCGCACACACTGCTGAGTTTGGTGTTTTGCTCCAGCTCCTGGCTCTCGGAGGTGCATGACTCCCATGCTGACAGACCGCAGAAGCGGAGAGCTGGTGGCCCGCCACGAGGTCCGATCGCGAGGCAATGTGGCATTACAGAAGCCGCGCCCGAGTCCGCAGTGGGTCCCGAAGCGCTCGCCGACTTCACCCACCCCCTTACTCAAGCCCAGGAATCTTTGCCTTTAATGGGAGGCGGGTGTGGAAGCCAGACGTCACCGCGTTTCACCTTTCAGATCGGACGCCGCGCCGACGGTGTGGCCGGGGTGGTCCGGTCCCCGGACTCTCCATCCTCCGGTCCCCGAGCCGCAGCGCACCCCGGAAGCCCCTTCCCTGACCAGGAGCTCTCACCCCAAGATCGTTCTCTCCCTCCTCCTCCAACTCCTCGGAGCCCAGGTCCGACATGGTCTGGTCTCAGCTGGGATCTCTGCAGCCGCGGCTCTAGCAGGCAGGTACCGGCCCCCACCACGCGTCCGGTGTCGCCATGGAGACGCGGTCCCGCCCAGCGGGCCTCCCAGCCCGGGAGGGCGGGGGAAGGGGCGGGGCAAGGGGAGTGGGAGGAGCCAAGGGTTGGGATGCTGCCCTAGCAACGCGGAGGGAGGGGGAGAGGAGCACCGGGAGGTCCCTGGGGCCGCCCTTGGGTGCTGCCCTAGCAACGGAGAGGGCATCTTAGCCAATCACTACCCAGGAAAAGGGAGGAGGCGGGACGGAGGACGTTAAGAAAAGCCCTGGGGCCGCCCTAGGATGCTGCCCTAGCAACGGGGAGGGCGTCTCCGCCAATCGCCGCCCGGGAAGGGGGAGAGGGCAGGGCCTCGGCGGGCTGGGTACCCGCCTGGTCCCGGCGGGTTTTAGCGTGGACACCGTGTCTCCGGCCCCTGGAGTGTCCTCAGCGGGCCGGTCCGTGAGCGCCACCAGGAACCACCTAGGACGTGGACCCTCCGCAGGACGAGTCCCAACTCTGGAGACCAGGTTCTCGCTGCGCTGCGGACACTGCCCCTTCTGCCCATCCTCTCTGTCCCTCGGGTTCCCCCCGGGTTGATGCTGAGCGACCCTTCCAGGGTCTATGCCCTGCGATCTTCATGGTCTATAAAGACCTGGGGCGCTGGAGCGATGGGCGCCTGCCTCTGAGCAGATGCCCTGCGCACTGGCTGGGTCAGGGTTTGTCTTCTCTCCCAACCCCCACTCGGGGCCAGCAGACTCCCGGCCTCCCACCTGCAGGTGTCCCAGAGCGAGTTGCTTGGCCCTCTGGCTGCAGGCACACACCGGGGGCCACTAGGACCCTCCATGTCCCCATGCTTCCCTCTGCACTAGCTACACCTCAGACAAACCAAGCCACCCACGCTCTCCCCCAAACATCACCAGTCCTTAGCTCTGACTGGGTCAATGCACCGCCTCCCTGGAGCGCCTGTCTCCCCGATACCAGAAAGCCAGGACACCAGTACACTGGCTGAGGAGTTGCCTCCCCACACAGCTCCAGATTCGGGATAGGGATAACCTATAGGAGGGAGAGGGAACCAGGGCCTGGAGGAGGAGGAAAGGATCTGAGGTCTATCACCTATTCATGTCATCGGTGTGTGATAAAAATGTAAAAGTTAATTGGGGACACTTCTTAAATATTTACTTGACAAGTTAAAATGCTTGTCTGCAATGTACTGACATGATACACATCCATACGGGGTGCTGATTTCCACAAACACATCCACACCACCCATTGTGGTCACCTCTGTGTTTGACAAGTTAAAATGCTAATCTGCAGTATACTGATGTGATATACATACATACAGGGTGCTGATTTCCACAAACACATCCACACCACCCATTGGGGTCACCTCTGTGTGTTTGACACTTCAAATCTGCTCCTTGCCTTTCAAATGAACGACACGCTGTCATTGGCTGTGTTTGCCATGCTGCGTCTCAGCTTTTATACCTGAATGTGTGTACCTTTTGACCAGCAGCTCTGTAAGTCTGACCTTTTACCATCCCCAGTGCTGGGGTTTGAATGGCTCCTTCAACATCCAGGTATTGTTGATGTGTGCTGGTGACTTTTCTGTCTCGCTAACAAAACACCTACAGCCATGAGCTTGATAAGGGCAAATGGTTATTTTAGCACCTGTGGTTTAAGAAGTTTCAGTCCATAGGCCATTTGCTCTGCCACTTTGAGGATTGGGTCAGTATTAATCCCTGGCCCCAAGGCCTGGCTCAACATCTGAATACTTAGCTACATTAAGAAAAAAAAAAAACAGTATATATAAAGAGAAATGGAAAAATGAATTTATAATTTTGTCCAGAGGGGTAGAGAAATTCTCTCCATCTTCCCCACAACAGTGTTACAATTCACAGAAAAGATGAAACAAAGTCAGGAGATTCACATATGTAGATGTAGCTGTGGGCCCAAATTACTTGAACTGGAAGATCAGTCTTTCTCCTGACAGTGTCCTTCCTCGGGAACCAGGACTCCAGGGCACGGCCTTTCCTGGCCCAGCTTGTCCTAGGGAAATTCTGATCCTCATGGCCGCCTCTGTTACACCTGTATAGCACACGATGGCGGGAGCACAAGGAAACCAATCACACCATGAAAGCCAGACAACAATGGAGGGAGAGACCACGGTCCCAATGTCTGCCTTTAGGGCGCACCCCAGTGTTGGGACTTTCCTCAGTCAGCCCCACATTTTAACTGTCCCACCACCTCCGTATAGTGCCATCTGCTGATGACCAAACCTCAACACGTGGGCTTTGGATTCCCGGTGAGAGAGAAATACGGTAGGGTTGGAGATTTCTTTTCTGTTTTACTTAAAAGAATCTATTTCTGTGTGTGAAAACAAGGGGCAGACAGAGTGTGAAGCCTTCGTAGTGAGAAGGCGGCACGGGTCACCCTGTGCCCGATGGGGCGGTCTTTGGCCTGGGGCTCCTGAGGCTCTTTTGTGACTGGCCAGGGTACATACTTAGAAATGGAGACAAAAATAAGGAAAAGCTGCCATTTTGGTTGTTACAAAGGTTATTGTTGACATTCTGGGTTTGGGACAGGATAACAGATGGCCTCCTCCAAGCCAGGCTTATAGAGCAGCTGGATGCTGGGGAGACGGGTTCACTGCCGTGGACTTGGTCAGTTTGGTTTGTTTTCTGTGACAGGGTGGCCCACGCTGGCCTCAGACTTGCTATGCAACTGAGCCTGACCGTGAATTCTTGATCATCCTGCCTCCATCTTCCAAGTTCTGTACCACCATGCCTAGCTCAAAGTTCTGTTTTGAAACATGGCCTGACCATTGTCCATTTGTATGTCCAGCTTCTCACATATTTTTGCAAATTATAATTTATCTTCAATCTAAATATTCTAGATAACACACTGTTGGTTTTTAAGTATAATACCTTAAACAATGATAGCACAATCATTTATTTTATTAATCTATTCCGGAATTTCGGTCTAAATGGAAGGAAAACAGATCATAAAGTATTCTTTGATGAAAACATTACTTACGGAGCACCACATTCCCATGCTGGGTTCCCATTGCCTAGTTAACATTAGTGTCCTCAAGAAATGCATCTGCCCTTCCAACCTCCATTTTCTGTTCTGTAATCTATAAACTCCTAAGGTTTTAGAGTGCTGCTGTAGGGATCAGAGGTGATGTTTTATTAATCTGTTATCTGCTATAATAGCTAAGTAATGTTAATGACAGCAAAGATGACATTACAAAGACTCCCATAGCAGCAGCCACATAGCATTCCCCTCCCTCCTGCTCCAAGGTGTATTACTTACTGTGCATCGGGGGTGGGAGGCATGCCAACATGAACACGGGTGTTCCATCCATATGAAGAATCACCCATAGACCTTTCAGCGCACACACTGCGGCTCTTTCCTTCAAACACAGAACCTTATGGAAGGTTGCAGTCTTAGCCAAACTCCCAGGTCCAAATACTGAATTAACAAACTACTGGCAATTAGCATACAAGACCCTGAAATTATGCAGTTTTTAATATATTTTTAATATTTTATTATTTTTATTTTATATGTATGACTGCCTGCACATAAGTGCACCCGTGTCATGCAATGCCCGAGGAGGTCAGAAAGAGCATTGGATTCTCATGGAGCTGGAGTTATGGACAGTTGCTATCCACTATGTGCGTATTGGGATAGAACCCAGGTCCTCTGCAAGAGCAGCCCGTGCTCTTACCTGCTGAGCCATCTCTCCAGTCCTGTTTTGTTTGTTGTTGTTTTTAGTTACAAAGATAAAAGATTCTAAGCACTGTGTTTTACCAGCGGCTCTCTCGTGAGTACTGGGGTGAGAGGGTCATTACTTCTCTACACTTGGTACTTCCCACATTGTGACAGTTGAGCATCTTACTTCTATAGTAAAATGTCCAAAGTATTTTAAACGTTAGAAATCTGGAATGGTAATATGATCAAGTATATGCAAATAAATGTTAGCTTTTGCCTCATAAAAAATGTTAGAGATTCAGCTTTCTAACAGGAGTCAATGTGTGCTAAGTCCTGAAGCTGGGCTGGCCTAGTGGTAAGCACTTTACGTGTATTATCTTACAAAATCCTTGCCTCAGAGAGGCAAGATCATTGTCCAAGAGTAGACAGCTGCTGGGTTCAAACAAGCTCATTGGTCCAAGAGCTCCAATTCAAAGGGTGGCCTAGGGGCTCCGAAGTTAAGAGCACTGGCTGCTCTTGCAGAGGACCCGGGTTTGGTTCCCAGCACCCACATGGTGGCTAACAACCATCCATACATCCAGTTCCAGGAGATCTGATGCCCTCTTCTGACCTCCATGGGCATTGCATGACACCGGTGCACATACATGCAGGTAATACACATACACATAAAAGAAAGATAAAGAAAATGAAGGAAGGAAGGGAGGGAGGGAGGAAGGAAGGGAGGGAGGGAGGAAGGAAGGGTGGGTGGCTATAGTTTGTTTTGAATGAACTTCTGTCTCCCAAAAGTGACCTAAGCAAACCACTAGTCTTAGCAGCGCTGTTCCAGCTCATATTGTGAGCAGCTGGCGGCCTCAGCAGCAGGAATGAGCCCTAAGGTGTAGTGTTTTATTCTTGTCCTTTGGAACGGAGCCAGGACCTCCCAAATCTTTCAGTTGCCCTGGAGCAATTTCAGTAAACTGTATGTTTAGTAATTGTCCATATATCTAACAGGACAGGCAAGGTGGGGTGAGACGCAGGCCAGCCTCCTGCCCCACAGCAGCCGCAGGACTAGACCTCAAATGCTACTTCCACGGGGAGCTACTCCCAACTCCCCAGGCCCAGAGCTGAGTCCACCCCCAGGGCAGTGACTTGGCACAGCTGAGCAAGCTTTGGCTCTGCTACCGCCCTAGGCCTGCCTCATAATCCGGAAGTGACTGGTGGTCCCAGAAGTCGAGCTTTTGGGCCCTTGATGACGCCCCAAAATGCTGCACAGCTCCCCTCATCTCCTTTCCTAAGGAATGACAGGCTGGATGGTGCAGACACGCTGGGAAAGGCCTCGCCTCACTAGAGATAGAGGAAAT